CTCTCTCTCTCTCTCTCTCTCTCTCTCTCTCTCTCTCTCTCTCTCTCTCTCCTCTCTCCTCTCTCCTCTCTCTCAAGTGCTGTTTGCTAACTGTCCTGGAACTGGCTGTGTAGACCAGGGTAGACTTGAATTCACAGAGATCCCCCTGCCTCTGCCTCCCAAGTTCTGGGATTAAAGGCATGCGCTACCACAACCAGCCTCCTTCACTTTTTTTTCAGTCCAATAAAGGTTCTTAAATTCTCAGAGGGTTAAGATTAGAAGGTTCAAATGTGACCAGATGTACATTTTATCAACTTAATTTAATTCAACTTAGTTAATGTATGGGCCGTTATTTTTGTAAAAAAACTTTCTCTTTTTTCCCAGTCTATTTGTGTGTGTGTGTGTGTGTGTGTGCATGTGTGTGTTATATAATTATATATTTGTATGAGTATGTTTGTGGGAACATGCATGCCACAGTGTGTATGGTGGTCAGGGGACAAGGGAACAACTTTTGGGAGTTGATTTTCCTTCTAACATATCAGTTTTGGAGAGCTTGGGTTGACAGTCTTTATGTTTTGAGTGCCCTAACCCACTGGGCTGTCCTCCCAGCCCTATATATGTGTTTTCTTTTCTCTACCTAGATTGTAGTTCATCTCACTGAAGACCTGCTTTCCAGGGCATCCATGACAGTAGTAAATGGATGCCCAACTCTAACCATCAATATTTCTACTGCGCGAGAGCATTGGCTGGAGGGGATGCTGAGGCATGAGATAGGTAGGACAACCCTTTCCACTGACTCACTTTACTGTCACGAATTCCCCCCTAAGGAAGTATTCTTCCAGAGTGTATGGTTTTTCCCTAGCAATATTTAGTAAAAATTCATGAGGTTGTTAAGCTTTACTTACAGTGTATGTCGTTTCAAATTATAATTTTAGAACACTATCTTGGAAATTCATTTCAGTCCTTTGGGTTTTAGTCTTCCATTTGAAGTTGAGGGGACGCATGCTTAGGAAAGAAAAGGAAAAGTTACCCTTCTCTGAGTGAAGAGAGAACCAGTCAGGATTAACATGCTTCCCTGGCTGCTGTCCCACAAGCTTTCTGAGAAGGGAAGGTACATTATCTCTTTAAAGGGATATTTGTATCCCTTTACAAATATTACACATAAAGAGAAAATTTACACACGAAGAGAGTATCTGGGTCTTTGATCTGTGAAAGACCTTTTTCTGGCTTTAGAATCTTGAGGATTTTTTTTTCTTTAACTTTTAATTTGTTTTCTGAGATAAGTTCTCATATAGCCCAAAAAAGACAACTTGAGAAAGAAATGTTTATTTTGACTGATGTTTTTGTAGGTTTAAGCTCCTTACTGCCTTTGAGCCTGGTAAGACAGCTAGTAAGACATCATGGTGGTGTATGTGGCCACCGAACACGGCCAAGACAGCAGAGAAGGCAGAGGAAAGGCTCCACACTGTCACTAGGCCTTACCCTGGGCCTACCACCTCCCAGGAGCGCCGCATTGGGGACAAGCCTTTAGCACTTAGGACTTGGAGGGAGAATATTCCAGATCTAAATGCAAATTTTTCTTTGGGGAACGTATCAAAACAGTGTCATTGCCTGTCATTCATACTTTTTCTCTGTGTAGGCACGCATTATTTTCGGGGAATTAACAACCTTCAGCAGCCATGGAACAGTTGGATTGGCCGCAAAAAACATGAGCTAAAGCCGAACAACCCTACCGAGGAAGGGCTGGCCAGCATCCATAGCGTCCTGTTCAGAAAGGACCCCTTCCTGTGGAGGGCCGCCCTCCTGTACTACACAGTGTATCAAGCCAGCCAGATGTCTTTCTGTGAGCTCTTCAAAGATATTGGCAAGTTTGTCAAGGACCCTAATACAAGATGGGATTACTGTGTAAGAGCCAAGAGAGGGTGGACTGATACTTCCCAGCCAGGTAAGTGTCCCTCTGTGGCAGGATTCTGACTGTCTGGCTAGTTGTTAGCTAGTGATTCCCTGTTAAGCAGGAGGATAACAAGTTTAAGGCTGGCCAGCTATATAGTGAGACCCTGATTTAAAAAGGCCGGGAGGGTCAGCAAGATGACTCAGCAGGTAAAGGTGCTCGCTGCCAAACCTGATGGCCTGAATTGGATCCCTGAGACTTCACATGGTGGAAGGAGAGAGGTGACTTCTACAAGTTGCCTTCTGATCCGACCACTTGAGCACTATGACACACACACACACACACACACGTAAAAGTTTTTGAAACTTAAAAAATAGAATGAGCACACATACAACCTTCTTGATCAACCAATCACTAACCAGCTATTAATTTTTTTTGCTATTTTTCTCATTTTCTAAGATTTACTTATTTATTTTTACTTATGTGTATGTGTCTGTGCCTCCATGAGTTCATGTACATCATGTGTGTACCTGGTGCTCTCAGAGGCCCAAGGGCATCAGAATCCCTGGAAATTGAGTTCCAGCAGTTGTGAGTTACCTGATGTGATGATGGAAACCCGACCTGTGTCTTTTGTAACAGCAGTAAGCATTCCTAACCACAGAGCCGTCTCTCCAGCCTTTAGAGAAACCTTTATTGAGATATTGGAGATGGCATATGCCTTACAATTAGTTCATCTATTTAAAATGTAAACTTCATTGTTTTTTCAATATTACAGAGCCACACAGTTATCACCACTAATTTTGGAATATTCTCTTCACCTAGCCCCCCCCCCCCCCAGGCTCCCAAGAAACAGATGTCCACTAGAATCCATGTCCTATCTATTCTCTCTCAGCTTCCAGGCAGTATTTTTAGTGGGTTTTCCTTTCAGTTTCTGTAAATTTACCTACTTTGAATATGTCATATGAATAGAATTATAATTTGTGATCCTTTTTGCTGGATTCCCCCAATCATCAGGACCTTCCCCTTTCCCTCAGTTTTGGTTTTTCTTGTTGAAGCTATCTCACTGTGTAGCCCTGGATGACCTGGAGCTAACTCTGTTGACCATGGTGGCCTCAAACTCACAGAGATTCACCTGCCTCTGCCTCTGAGTGCAGGGATTAATGTCATGGGAAACCAGACTTGGACAGATGTTTTCAGATTGATACTGTGGCTGAAATAATTCTTTATTCTTTTGCCAGCTGGCAGTCGTTCATTAGTCTCCGTCTTTAGGCCCTCAGGGATAGCGCTGCTGCTGCTGTGTTCTGTTACTCTCCCTGTGCATCTCCCTCCATAGCTCATCCTGGGAACTCTTCCGCCTCCGCTTCCTGGGTGTTGACATTACAAGCATAAGCCACCTCTGCCTAGAAGTAGAGTAGTCCAGGAACAGGGTTGAGCTTCGGAGGCTCCGCCCGTGACTCTGCTGGCTCACATTCACCAGTGTTAAATAGTCCTCTCCACATCTCTGCTAACATTTGTGATTTCCATGGTTTAAACCAGCAATTGGTTAAAATGTGAAACTGCATCTTACTGTAGTTTTGATGTGTGTTTACCTGATGATTATGGTGTTGAACATCTTTTAATTTGTTTAGTTGATCTTTGTATTTCTTTAAAAGAACTATCTGGGTTTTTTTTGTTTGTTTGTTTTCAGATATTTTTACCATTCAGTTTCTTGATCATGTTGTCTTTGACAGCTCCAGTCACCTATCCATACTGAGGATACAGAAGCAGGGTTAGGTTTTTAGTGGAGAGGAAACATGTTTGTGACAATCAGAGGTCAGCTTCCAGTATCCTTGTCAAAGTGCCATATACTTTCTTAGTATGCTTTTATTTGAAGAAATTTTTATTTAGTTTTTAGTGCGTGTGTGTGTATGTGTTTGTGATATGTTTGTACAGGTGCACAGGTGCCATGGCAGGCATGTGGAGATAACAGGACAACTTCTGAGAGTCCATTCTGTCCTCCCACTTTACTGAGGAAGAAACAGGAGACAACATGCTTCCGCCATGTTACCTGCTCTAGGCTGGCTGGCTCCCCAAGCTTCTCAGGAGGCTCCTGCTACAGATGCTACCACTGCATCCAGCTTTTCACATGGGTTTCAGGGCTGGAACTCGGGGAGTCAGGTGGACATGCTAGGGCTGCTTAGCAGGACTTATCTCGGGGAAAAGCTTGAGGCAGCTCAGGGGGCTCACAGTGGGCTTACCATGATGGAAACATATCACACACACACACACACACACACACACATGCACTAAAAAAATAAATAAAAACATACTATGAAGATATATGGCACTTTGACAAGGATACTGTGAGCCCCCTGAGCTGTCTCAAGCTTTTCCCTGAGATAAGTCCTGCTGAGCAGCCCTAGCCAGCCTAGAACTCCATTTGTAATCCTTGTTGGCCTTGAACCCACACTTGCTGGATTCAAACCGTGTGCCACCATGACCTACCACCATACTCCCCACCCCCATTTTAAAAATAATTGAGACAAAGTCTCAATTGTATACCCAAGAATGGCCTTAACTGGATTCACTTCCATACCCAGGAAGTGACTGTGCTGCCTACCCAACTTTGTTTTTCTACCTTATATTTTGAGACAGAGTCTCTGACTTGGACTTAGGAGCATGGGTTCTACTAGAGTGGCTAGCCAGTAAGCTCCAGAGATCCACCTGTCTCCTGCCTTCACAGCACTGGGAATATGTGCACGCATGACCACACCCAGCTCTTTCCATAGGTGCTGGAGGTCAGACTCAGGCCCGAGCTTCCATAGCAAACACTGACTAAACCACTCGAGCTCTTTTCACTTTTTCTTTAATCTTAATTTAAAAATTTTATGTATATGGGTGTTTTGCTTGCATGTATATCTATGCATGCCTGGTATCCATGAAGTACAGAAGGTTTGTTGGATCCCCTGAAACTAGAGTTAGAGATGGTTGTGAGCCTCTGTGTGGGTGCTGGGAATCAAATTCAGGTTTTCTGCAAGAGCAGCAACTCCACCCCTGAAAGCTTTTTTAAAAGAGATATTCTGAGCTGGGTGGTGGTGGCGCACACCTTTAATCCCAGCACTCGGGAGGCAGAGGCAGGTGGATCTCTGTGAGTTCGAAGGCCAGCCTGGTCCACAAGAGCTAGTTCCAGGACAGGCTCTAAAACTACAGAGAAACCCGGTCTCGAAAAGAAACATCCTGAAATTTACATAAATCAAGGACAATTTTAATTATCAGGTTTGTGCAGTGCTGGGAGTCCAAGCCAGGGACTGATTCAACTGAGTACAACTGCATGCACTGATTCAACTGAGTACAAACCTGTGATGTTAGGTTTTTGTTTTGTTTTAAGATAGAGTCTCAATGTAAGCCTGGCTGACTAGGAACTCCCTATGTAGATCAATCTTGGCTTTCTGGTTTTTAAACCATTAAGTCATAGTTTTAGCTGGGTGTGATAGCACATGCCTGTAATTCCACTCTTGGGAGGCTGAGGTGGGAAATGGATGTGCCTTCAAAGCCAGCCTGGGTTTCACAAGAGTCAGTTTCACTGACAGTTGCTAGACGTAGGTTTTTAGAATTGAACTCAGGTCCTCATGTTTAAGAGGCAAGCTCTTTACAGACCGAGATGTTTCCTGAGCCTGAAATCTTAGTTTTGATTTTTTGAGACTAAAACAAAACAATGCTTAGCACAGAGCAAACAGAAGAAAAGGACAGGCAAGCACCCCTCATCTCCACAGCGCCCTCGTGAGACCACTCCCCTCGCTCCCCATCACACCAAGGCATCACCTTCATGCTCAGTGTGTGGGTGGGGGAATGTTTGTAAGGTACTGACTTTTAAGTCCCAGTCTTTAAATTTGGGGAGGATGTCAATTTAATTAACAAAATGCAGTAAAATAAGTTTTTTAGGTCAAAGTACTGGACTGTGTGTATGATCAATACTATTTTGTTACTTTTCAAGATCTTGTATTTTATGAATAAATAAATAATAAATAAATAAATAGTTGAATAAAAACAAACATGGGCCGGGCATGGTGGTGCATACTTTTAATCCCAGCACAAAACAGAAGCAGGTGGATCTCTCTGAGTTCAAGGCTAGCCTGGTCTACAAAGAGTGCCAGCACAGCTAAAGCTATCTAGTGTGTGAGACCCTGTCTCAAAAAATAAAAGTAGGATATTTTAAAAACCAGAGCTGCTCCTACGAAAAGAGAATGGTTAGCATCTAATTTTATGTTTCTTTAAACATTAAAAAGTAATCACTGAGACTGGAAAAATGGCTTAGCAATGAAATGTGTGCTGATTGTGCAGAGGATCTGCATCCACTTCCCATTACCCACTCTGGGCAACTCACAGCTTCAGCCGCAAGAGATGTAATGCTTCTGGCCTCCTCAGGTTTCCATACTGAGGTAAACACACACCACACACACATACACACACACAAAAATTAAAAATAGTCTTTTAAAGAGAAAGAAAGTAACCCTTCTTCTGGTTCCTCCAGGGTGTTTCAATAAAGATCAGGTGTACTTGGATGGAATTCTTCAAATCCTTCGATTCAGAGAGTCCATAGACTTTCATCTGCTGACTGCCCTGGGCAAGGTGAGTGCACAGCGACCCAGACCTCCAGCACTCCGTCAGCACTTCCTTCCCATCGACTGTTTGTTACTCTGTTGTTGTTGGAACAAGTTTCTTCTTGTGTGATCAGTAAGAGACAGAGGAATAGAGAATTTGGAAAAATACCTTATTTTTATGTGCATCTTTTAAACAAACAAAACAAAACATCTTTTTGGGTTTGCTTTTGAGTTTTGTTTTTCTGTTATTGAACCAGGATCTCATGGAGCCAGGATAGCCTCCAAATAGATGTGCTGCTGAAGACGACTGTAAACTTGTTTTGTTTTTACCACAGCGCTTTCCTGTGTATCTCTGGCTGGCCTAGGATTCACCTGCCCTGCCTCCTGAGTGCTGAGATTAATGTGTGTGTGTGCCACTATCATTAAGCTTTTTTCTTTTCTTTTCTTTTCTTTTCTTTTCTTTTTTTTTCTTTTCTTGACAATGTCTGCAGGAATTCTGGGCATGCTCTACCATATCTATCTTTAAAAAGGTTTTCTCAGCCTGGAGAGATGGCTCAGTGGTTAAGAGCACTGGCTGCTCTTCCAGAGGTCCTGAGTTCAATTCCCAGCAACCACATGGTGGCTCACAACCATCTGTAATGAGATCTGGTGCCCTCTTCTGGCCTGCAGGCAGACATTCAGGCAGAACACTGCATACATAATAAACAAACAAACAAACAAACAAATAGGCTTTCTCTGTAAAAGTATGAAGGAAGCTGTAGTTGTGGCACTTTGCCTCTCTAAGCTCTCCTGTGAGCAAGGATATTATCTAATTTATCATTAATTCATTATAACATTAAAATACAGTACCAATCTTGTTTCATGTGGCCATCAGGGACTCAGATGACCAAGTGCTTTGACACTGAATGCTGACATTTGAAAGGAATCCTTTCTACACAACAAGTCATAACAGTGTGCTTCAAATATTCCAGAAACTGGGGATCTGGGGAGATGATTCAGTCCCTCAGAGCCTTTGTTGTTCTTGCAAGGGACCTGAGCTTGGTTCTCAGCACCCCAGATGGAATGGTTCATAACCACCTGTAACTCTACTTTGGGGGACCCATTCTTTCTTTTGACCTCAGTAGGCACCTGCACTCACATGCACACCTGTGCACACCTGCATACACATGCACACCTGCACATATACAAATAAAAATAAGTCTTTAAAAAATGTATTTGGGGAACTGGAGAGATGGGTTAAGAGCACCTGTTACTCTGGCAGAGGATCTGGATTTCATTCTCAGCACACACATGATAGCTTATAACCATCCATAACTCCAGTTCCCGGGGATCCAGAACCCTCTTCTGTTCTTCTTCAAAAGTACCAGTCACATATGTCATACACAGATATACATGCAGACAAATAAACACATTTTTTAAAAAAGTTTAAAATATGTCTATATTTAGGAAGTCGTGTTGCAAACAGATACACTGCCATCTGGCCTCTGCTACTCCGCTTACTGAGCACAGGCAGGGTAGATTTCAGTGTCATTCTTGGGCGCTAGGAATTTGGAAACAGTTAGTGAGCATTGGCCTCCACTCAAGCCAGCAGTCACATTCACTCCTACAAGACAGCAGCTTGTCTGCAACTCTCTAATTTTATTAATTTATTTTGAGATAGGGTCTCTGTCTTAGTTGGGTTTTATTGCTTTGAAGACACCATGATCATGGCAACTCTTATAAAGAAATCATTTAACTGGGGTGGTTCACTTACAGTTTCAGAGTTCAGTCCATTATCATCATAGTAGGAAGCACGGCGGGGTGCAGGCAGACATGATGCTGGAGCTGAGAGTGCTACATCTTGCAGACAGCAGGAAGTCAACTGACTGTCACACTGTGGGAAGCTTAAGCAAAAGAGACCTCAAAGCCTGCCCCCACAGTGGCACACTTCCTCCAACAAGGCCGCACCTCATAATAGTGACACTCCATTTAGGGAACATTTTCTTTTAAACTACCACCACAGTCTCACTCTGTAGCCCTGGGTGGCCTTGAACTCAACAGCTGTGCCTACCTCCTGCACCAGCACTGCTGCTTTCCCTGCTCTCTGTGTTCTAAACCCACCTTGTCTGGTGCAGCTCCCTCAGCTCGGCCAGCGCCACAGTTGCAGAGTGAAAGACCTTTCCTTAAGGATTGTTGTGCTGGTTTTCTCTGTCCAAACCACTGAGACTTTTCCTTGCCAACAGGGAGGCTGTTCTGTTTTCTTATCCTTTGCGTGTTCACTGGGCCAGCATGTTTCATTTCCTTCAGGCACGGTGCATGTTGCAGCTTCTCTTTCCTTGCGGCATGCACTGTTTACTGTGTTTACTCATTTCTTGTCTTACTTAAAGGGTTTGAATTTTTTTTTTTTTATACAGAGGCTGTTGTAGGGCGATTAATTGGCTATATATGTTGTTAAATTGAAATACTATGAGAAAAATTATCAAAATATGCTAAAGAGAGGAAATAAGTCAATATTGTTTAAAAATGTTGCCATTTGGGCTGGCATGCTGGTTCTGCGGGTAAAGGCGCTCACCCAAGCTGAACAACTGCCAAGTTGTGCTTGCACCTTCCAGTGCACTAAAGTACACCCACACCCTGCTCCAGTACATAAAAAATGTGTTTTTTAGACTTCCTGCCAACCCTGGAAGAGTGGTGATCAAAAGTTGGAGTATTGAAAATCAGCCTTACCAGGACAGACTTGGTGCATGCCTTAATCCCACCACCTGGGAGGCTGAGGCAGGCGGATCTCTGAGTTTGAGGCTAGCCTCATCTATATAGTGAGTACTAGTCCAACCAGGGCTACATAGTGAGAGACTCCTATCTCAAAAGTAAATAAAATCAGCCTTGATTTGGAATTTAAAGGTAAAAGTAACTTACGGAATTATAAGAAGTTTTTTTTTCTCAACTAGATCCCCTTCTATTTTCATGGGCATGTTTGCTTTGAGACAGGGTCTCTCTCACTGTAAAGCCCTGACTGTCCTAGAACTCCTGTGTAGACAGGCTGGCCTTGAACTCACAGAAATCTGCCTGCTTCTGCCTCCCGAGTCCTGGTATTAAAGGTGTGTGTCACTATTCCCTGCTCCACGTGTGGTTTTTATGACTCAACAAGTTTCTTTACTGTGAAGGGTTGATTATAGACCCATGGGCAACTTGCCAAGGACAACATTGAGGAAAATGTTTCTCCTTTTCCATCAACCACTAACTTCTTACAATCCTCAGGGAACTCAGCATCCCAAACCACTCCCTATTACCTTCTGTCTGACCCTCTGTGATGTGCCCTGAGTGCAGGAGAGAGTGATATAGGTGACTCACTTGTGACTGCCCACTCAAATGCCACTTAGTTCTTGACACTTTGACCAGTTATGCGTCTCTCCATTAACTCCTGCCCCCTGCAAAATGAAGCTGCTCTGACAGCAGATAGCGGTATTCATCCGTGAGCATACACACGGTTATTTAGATGGCGATCGGTAGGAACACTGCCTCCTCTACCAGACAGCAGCAGCAGCTTCCCAACTAGAGTTACGACCTCAATCACAGGCCACAGGATAGCTTTACAGTTCCATTACACAGATTCTTTCTTATGGAGAGAGCCTCAATTCTGACCAAGCAGCAGTTGGCTGTCCCTGTAAGACTTCCACTGCTTGCCCTCAGTGGGCACATCATAGAGACTACAGCTGAGTTAGACTGTGGGTGACAATTCCACCCCAGCAGCCTGCATACCACCACTGGTTCTGGGAAAGCTGGCCAACATGGAGGGTGAGAAGCAAGAGAATATAACAAATTATGTCTGCCAGCTTGATGGGAGAGTCAGGAAGCCAGTCCACAAGAGTTTTCTTCTTCGGGTTTCTTCATGCTAGCTGCATTTTGATTTCCTTATTTAGATTTTTTTCTCTTCAAGACAGGGTTTCTCTGTGTAGTCCTTGCTGTCCTAGAACTCACTGTGTAGACCAGGCTGGCCACCAATTCACGGAGATCTCCCTGCCTGCCTGCCTCTGCCTCCTACGTGCTGGGATTAAAGGCGTGTGTCATCTCTTAAATCAAGAGATTTATTTGAATTTAGTCTCTCCTACCTGAGAATATAGCTCAATGGTAGACTTGCCTAGCATGCTCAAGGCCAAAGTTTGATCCTCAGCATCACCACCAACAAAAGGTACAGTCTGTCCTTACACACAAGAAGCTCACCCACCTGACTTTATACAAACTGATTCAGTTCCAAGATAAGAGTGTGAAGTCAAATACTGATTTTCTCTTTTCTTTTATGCTTATGCTTAGCCATGAGAGGGCATAAAATAATATTTACTGTAGTAAAGGAAAGTAAACAACAATTTTTGTTTGCTTTGTATTTTGTAGCTAGTAACTTGACAGCCCACATTTTTGTTTTTTGTTTTGTTTTGATATAGGATCTCATCTTGTAGCCCAGGCTGGCCTCAAACTCACAGAGATTCACTGATACCTGCCTCCAAGTTCCCAAGTACTGGGGTTAAAGATGAGAGCCACCACACCTGGTCACATATCCATAAGGTCCTGGAGAAAAATTCACTTCCAGAATGTAACTTGTAGTTGTAAAAGCAATTCCTTTTTTCAGGTATCTTATGAAGATGTGGATCGCTTAAAAGGGTTGGCAGTTACTGAGAACATGAGAGTCCCCCACTTCCTGCATGACCATGGCCGCTACATGGAGCACTTGGAGAGGATCATGGAGGTGAATGAGCTGACTGATGCCGAGCTGAAGGACCTCATCTAAGCAGTGGCGGCCACTCCTCCGTGGCTGCACCTGCACCGTAGAGGAGAGTGGTGGCTGAGCTCGGCTTTCCAGAGACCAGCCCTCAGTATCCAGTTGAGATTTAGGTTATATGTAAACCTGAAACTATTTTCCTAAAATGTTTCTGTAGCCTGCAGGAGGAAGTCACTTCTCTCCATCCAGGTCTCAGCAGAGACAGATGAAGACTGCTGCTGCTGAAGACGCCGGGATGAACTGTGAACCCGAGCACTGAGGCCAGCTCCAGGTGGAGGTGGCCAGGTTCCAAGCTGTACTGTATAAACTCCAAGGTTCTATTTCCTCTGCTAAACAGTGGTGATGGTTCTTCTTCGAAATACTCATTTTGTAACTCGCCAAAAGGCTGGCACTATCTAAGAGTTCTTATTTTTCCTATGGTAAGTAATGTTAAAAGGACAATGAAAAGAAATTTGAAAACTTTTCATTAAGCTCTTTGTTTTATACATTTTCATATTTATTTTCTGAGTTTATATAAGCTCGAGAAGGTGTGTGTGTGTGTGTGTGTGTGTGTGTGTGTGTGTGAGAGAGAAAGAGAGAGAGAGAGAGAGAGAGAGAGAGAGAGAGACAAAGGATCAGACATGGGTATAATCTGCCACTGATCTATACCCAAGGCTCTGGGTTTGTTCCTCCCTGTCCTCCCCCCACCATTTACTCAAGAGGACAGCAGGCGGTTGTGACTAGAGGTCAGGTCACCTGCAGCACAGGGCCTGTCCGGTTACCTCTGAACCACACTGTTGAAAACAGTTACCCTTTAAAGTTCAGCTAGCTTTTAAGATCCTTCCCTTGGCGACGGAATAGAGTGACAGTTCCCTCCAGCAGGGGGCTCGAAAATGAGTCGCTGCTTTCTGCCTTTTATCTTAGTACTTCGTTTGCTCATCCATCCATCCACTCAGATGAAACAGTTAGGAAAGGTGAGGACAGACAGGCTGGCCTTGAATAAACCTGGTCATGGTTCGAAAAAGGAAATTTCTGGGCCTTTGGTCAATTCTGATCCAGCTTGAACTCAGGAGAATTCCATGTACACTTTGCAGCCTGGGCACCTGGGTTCATAATTGGCTTTTCCTACCACTTACCGACCAGCAAGAGTGCTGCTGTAACTGCCCCAGGATTGCTGTGCTGGCTTCCCACACCTCTGAGAGCTCACCTCTGCCTCAGCGCAGGCAGACATGTGCTGGAGACATACACTGTGAAGCCTAGGTGCTAGAAAGCCCGGGTTACGATTCTTCTCCTTCACAGACCACAGACGGGAAGGCTTGCTTCAGAAAATAATGTCACAAGTAAACCCAGGCTCTAACTAAGAGCCGCACCTTTTGCCTTTGGCAGTAGAGCAAGGCCTTTGGGAGCTTGGCAAAACTACCTCTTCACTCCATACCATAATAACCCACAGGTGTCCGTACAGCATTTGCCAGAGGGGCAGGAGTTAGGAGCGGCGAGGTCTGCTCCTGACCCCTCAGGTATGCTCTCCTTGCAGCAGACTCTCCAGCTTCATCTCAAGTTCTCTCGCTTACCTTAATTCAGCCAAGTGACTGCAAGCACGAGAGAGAAGGGCAGTGTTTATGTCCTGGGATCTGCACCCAGATGCTCGCAGTCAACTCTTGCTGGCAGTAACATTGCACGCTTACCTCAGGGTTAAAATGGAAAGGAGAATCTGAGCAGCCTTCATTTCTTGTAGGGTTATCTGCAGTGGTTCCAGAGTGAGTGGGCCTTCTGTCTCTGGCTGGTTTGGAAAGGGAACTGCTTTCTTGCCTTACCACTTTGGTGCAAAAATAAAAAGAATAAAATTCAAAAACATTCTGAAGAGAAAAAATGACCTTAAATTACATTAACTGGTCTTAAAAATCTTCAAAAGTTAACAGCAACTAAAAGTGGTCTCAGAACAACAGAGGGGTCTGAAGACCTGGGACTGTCTTGGAGGTCTTTGGAGAGGCCAGGGATACAGAGCAAGGCCCTATCTCAAAACAACAGCAGCAAAAAAATAAGTTGAGGTTGATGATATTTATTCTCTTTCTTATATTGAGTGTCAGATCAGTTTTTGTTTCCTAAAATAATTTTTAAGGTTTTTTGGACGGCGTATAGCCCTGTCCTGGAACTGACTCTATAGACCAGGCTAGCCTTGAACTCACAGAGAACCACCTGTGTCTCGATAATCCCATCTTCCATCCTCCACTCACCACTGAAACTCACCCTGCTAAGCCAAAACCATTAGCCCCAGAACCCAGAGCCAAGTAAAGCCAAACTCAGGAAAGGAGAAGCAGGCCGAAAGACCCTTGCAGGAAGAGAGCTTTTCTTCCTTGCCCTTCCTGCATAGGCCACCTGGAAGGAGGCAAGTCAGTCATCTTTATGAGGAAACAGAACTCTCCAGAGAAAACAGAGCTTACTCTGCCCAGTGCTGTCTCTACTTGACCTTAGAATGGCACACTGCCACACCCAGCGTGGACAATGAGGCCCACATCTGAAAACCAAAGTGGCCCACAACTAGCTGTGTAGCTTCTGCGCCGCAGAAAGCCTCAGGAATCCCTTGCCCATGTGAGCTACAGTGCCTCTGCCTCCTGTTGCCACTGTCGCTAGCTTTCCAGAGACCCGTTTCTCACGGGTCCCTGCCAACTTCCCTTGCTCCCGATCACAGCAAAATTTGAGCTCCATCATGAGACAACTACTTCATCACGATGGAAGCCAGAGGGCTCCCATGGCCTTGCATCTTCTATTACACAGACACTTGGAACTCTATTTCTCCTTACTAAATATCCTGCTAAAGCACAGTTGTACACTGACCCGGACAGTTACTGCACCCAGCAAACTACTCCAGATCAGTCATTTACCTGGTCATATCGCCCTGTACCTCATGATATTGGTGCACATTGAAGGGTCCTCCTGGTTCTGGGCTGGGTGCTGTCACCAAAGCTTTGCCACTGACATGGCTTGTTCTACCAACAGGATTTAACAGGGCTACCCCCTCCACAGTCTCCAGCATATGCTGCCCTTTCTCAGTGCCACCGTCTCAGCATTTTACAATCAATGCCATAAAAGTGAGGTCTGGGACGCCCCAAAACCTTCTGTAGTGGTGGAATAAGAATGGCCCCTATTGGCTTATATGTTTGAGTGCTTAGTCATCAGAAGCATGAGGGGTGTGGACTTGTTGGAGGAATATGTCACTGGGGTGTACTTTGAGGTTTAGAAGCCCAAACCAGGCCCAGTGTCTCTCTATTCCTGCTGCCAGCAGATTCAGATGTAGAATCTGCAGCTACTTCTCCAGGACCAGGTCTGCTTGCTTGTACCACGCTTCCCACCATGATGAAACCTCTGAAGCTGTAACACTGGCTGTCCACCTTCTGCCCACCTTATCTCCACCCTTCACTGGCTTGGCTACCATTGACAGGAATGAAGATGGGGCACCCAGTCCCAAAGGGCGAATGGAACCAGAGAAATCTCAGAAGCAGAGAGTCTGCACAGTAGCAGTGGAGGAGGGAGAGACACCCCACAGGTGAGAAGCCAGCACTGGCTTCCACTGGCCAACAGAAGTTTCTGTTCAGCGCTCCTACGTCAGGCCTTTGCTGGGTGACATGGCCAGCAGAGGGCTCAAGTGGAGACCTTTGTCATCATCATGTCTCCTCCCCCTAGCCTCTCTATTGCTTGGGGCCCAGTGCTTCCTCTGGGCAGGTGAGCCAAAGCACATGCCACTCCAGGAGCCAAGTGCTGCTCCTGTCCCTCACACTTCTTCCTGTGCTGCCTTGACTCCCACCATTCCTCCCTAAGCTCTCATTCCTTCACCCACTCACTCAGGTTCTGTTATGTGCCTGGTTCTGGATACAAAGATGAATCTATGGGGGGGGGGGGAGCATAATAAAGTATCATAAACCAGGCCAGATGGAGCTGGCTTTTAATTCTAGCACATAGGACACAGAGTCGTGTACATCTCTGAGTTCAAGGTCAGCCAGGTCCAGGTCAGCTAAAGCTAAATAGTGAGACTCAGTCTTAAAACGAACAACAAAGCAATAAAACAAAGTATCATAGACTTGGTGGCTGGCAACAACCAAAACAGTCCGTTTCGGAGAAGCCCTGTGTGTCTACACGCTGCTTCTCCTAAGGACACAAGTCCTGTGGGATGCAGGGTCCACCGGCTTCAAAATGAGGTCATCTTAATCACTTTTGCAAGGACCCTTTATACAGGAAGTTACATTATGAGGGACATGATTCGACATATAACAAGGTACCAGCCTCCTGCCTTCAGCTGCTGCTCCTCAGTGACCATGGCTGTATCTTCAGGGGTAGGTGGACCATCTGGCTTCTCTAGATGTCCACAGCCTGGGTGTGAGGGAAGCTGGCAAGCAAGTTCCCCTACAGTGTTCTGTGCCTTATCTACAGTCTCCAGCCCTGAGAGGAACATAACCCATCATGGAAGGTTCCAGAAAGTCAGGCGTTCCAACTGCTCCCAACTTCCTATGCTTCCCACCTCCAGGTACCTGAGCTCAAGCTGTGGAAAACATCTTCTTCCCCAGTCCTTCAAAACCTGAAACAAAGTTTACATTACAGTTTAGGATAAAATGCTGAAACATAAGCTGGCTGGGGCAGCAGGGTGTCCTAAGGTCCTCATCAGGCATCCTGTCCTTCCTCATGTCACCATAAAGGGCCGTAACTCACCACTCCCCACACCTTTGCCCTCAGGCCTTTCTGTGGAAGGTGGCTGTCCATCTTAACCATGGTGTTCCCAGCATTGTCCAGTCCTCGCTCTTGCCCAGGGACTCCTCAGAGCCGCCCCTTGCTCCACGCCACATAGCACGCTGCAAATCTCTGCCGCAAACACTTCTTGTTTTTCAGTTGGGATCTTCTCACTGTTTTGTTTCTTTCTTTGTTTTAAGACTGCCCAGGATGAGCTCAAACTCTCAGCAATCTCCTGCTTCAGCCTCCCAATGTGTTGCGATATAGGTATAGGTATGCCTGGCTTTCTTATAAACACATTTTAAAATCAAATTTTATTTAGTGTGTGAACACACATGCATTTCTGTGAAAATATTTATTTGGATGTATATGTAGCTCGCATGGGCAAGGGATTCCTGTGTTCTGACAGAGCCAAAGTTAGTGTAACTGCATACAGATGGTAATTATCCCAGGAATGGGTCCTGACTTTTTTTTTTTTTTTTAAGATTTATTTATTATGTACACAGTGTTTAGCCTCCATGTATGCCTGCGGGCCAGAAGAGGGCACTAGATCTCATTGTAGATGGTTGTGAGCCACCATGTGGTTGCTGGGAATTGAATGCAGGACCTCAGGACCTCAGTAGCCGTTGTTGGTTCTAACTTCTGGTGCCTGACCCGAGTGGTTTGTTTTAGATTTAAGCACAGCACAATTCGATAAAAACTATGCTGGCAATGATTAATTCAACCCTGCATGCCCAACAAAGCATACATGAATCTCCTTGAGGACAAAGTAAGCAAAATATAGATCAGATGTGACTACATCAAAGCTATTTGTAAAGTCCATAAAGATAGGTTCTATAGATTGACTGAGAAAAAAACTTTATAGTAACGGCCTGGGAGAAAGACCAATGCCAGAAGTCTCCGGCCACACAGATAGCTCAGCAGATTAGAAGGCACGCCACTCCAGTCCTCTGAGTGGGTAACAGGTAATGCAGTCCTTCCCCTGAAGGAACGACCCTGTACACTAGACTTCCAGGCTCCTCTGTGAACAAAGACCTCTGTGCTCCTCCCTACCCTGGAACCTTTTTTTTTAAAATTTTTTAATTTTAAGGGACTGGAGAAATGGTTCAGCTGTTCAAGAGGATGAACAGGCCATATGTTGTTGTGCACACCTTTAATCCCAACACTCGGGAGGCAGAGACTGGTAGATCCCTGAGCTCAAGGCCAGCCTGGTCTACAGAGGGAGCTTCAAGACAGCCAGAGCTACACAAAAAGACCCTGTCTTGAACACCAAAAAGAGTGTGTACAGCTCTGACTCAACAACAAATACAGCTTCTCTACCTGTAGGACCACCCCTGATCTGTTACAGGCCAGTCTACATTACAGGCACATGCAACATGGGGTAGTTTATGGATATGTTTTGTGATGTTTCCCTTGAGTTTATTTCCAGCCATTTTCTGAGTTAGTGCTTCTGTGACGATCTTAGCACCACGAGACATAGTAAGTGTGGCACAGGCAGGTGTGCGCACGTGTGTACACACACACACACACACACACACACACACACGCCTCATTGTTACCGAAAACTCCACCCTCAAATTAATCAACGATGACAGGGGATGCACATTTTGTTTTTTAAGACAAGGTCTCCCCTGGCAGCAAGGCTGGCCTTCAACTCAGATCTCTGCTTACACCTCTTCCTTCTGGGTCCTGGGACTAAAGGTGTGCAGCACTATGCCCAGCTTTTGTTTTGTTTTTATAGGATGGAATTTCCTTGGAATAAGGTGTAGCAGGCTGGGTGGTAACAGGAATACCACCCAAGCCTACACTTACAAGGCAGCAACAAGTACTTGATACTACAAGTGGCCATTTCTGACTCTCATTTAAAAAGCTAAGAACATGACAGTTAGCATAGAAGGCCATTTGTACATAAAAAGCCCTAGGGCTGTTTAGTTAGTTCAGTCTCTAAGTGCTTGCCTTGTAAGCATCATCAAGACCCATGTGAAAAAAGCCAAGCATGGTGGTATATTTCTCTAATTCCAGTGTTGGAGAGATGAAGACAGAATGCCTGGGCTTCCCTGGCCAGTCACCCTAACATTCGTGGGGAACTGTAGGCTAGCGAGGGATTGTGGAAAAAAAAAGGACACCTAAGGAGTGACACCTGAGGTTGTTCTCTGCCCCCCTCACCCTCGTGCACATGAGCACACAAAAGTTCTATATACATCTGGCACGGTTGGCAAAAGCTCTTAATCCCAGCACTTGTGAGGCAGAGGCAAGCATTTCTCTGTTAGTTTAAAACTAACCTGTCTACACAGCCAGCTCTGGACCTGACAGAGCTATAGTCAGACCCTATCTCAAAATGAAACAAAGCAGCATCTTATTTATTTTGTTGATGGCATACAATCCTTTAATTTTTTTCTTTAAAGATACGGTTAGCCCAGGCTGGCTGTGAACTCAGCAACCTTCCTGTATCAATCTCTCCCAGAGCTGGAATTGGAGGCATATGCATACACCTAGGTGTGCGTGAGATATTTCTAAAAAACTCCAAAGCAAACTGCTAAGCCAACTAGAAAGGGGGTAAAAAAGGAGTGTGTGGCTTTTAGACTTTTTAGACTTTTTTAGACAGGCCCACCTGTCTGAATTAATAATGACTATATTTAAAAAATAAATCATGAACTTTTATTATCCCGAACCACAGACAAGGGCAAGCCTGAGTTCATGGGAACTGAGCTGCCACACCATGGAGGGCAAAAGCTGGCAACACCCTAGGGTGTTTCCTGAGTCTCCATCACCTCCCCTGCGGGTGGCCTATTAAAGCAATCACAGACACAGTGACCACCAGGGAGAGAACACAGTTGCTGTTGGCAGCCACACCAGGAAGCCCGCCTGCCCTGCGGTGGTCACGTGGTACCAGAGGGTGGGAATCTGCAGCTGTGCCAGGTGTCCCTCCTAGTCCTGTCTGTCGCTCTCAGGGCAGCTCTGTTCTTCGGCCTGCGGGTGAACTTGAGAATCTGCATCAGCTGTCACTCTGAGTCTGAACTCTCACTTGACTTTGAAGCCTTGTGCTTTCGTTTCTTCTTCTTTTTCTTCTCCTTCTTCCTTTTCTTATGTTTTTCTTTCTTCTTCTTTTTCTTGCGTTTCTCTTTGCCTGACGAACTGGAGCTGCTCTCATCTGAGGTGGAGTCCTCCAGTAACTTTTTTAACTGCTGGATCCTAAACAGACCCATCAGAACAACATTTCACTTAAAAGCCGCTGGGAGCTGAGGGAATCATGAATAACTACCTTGCTAAAGACAACCCGGTTCATTGTCCTAAATAGCTGTGCATACTCCGGTAGCCCTTGTAACTCCTAGCAAGTGCACACCTACTGAAACACCCACCACTGTTTATAGTAACTCAGCTCCTCAAGGGCCACAAGACAACTATTAGAAAACCTTTCTGCTTTGGTGACAGGGTCCCAATGTATTCTAGCTAGCCTCAACTCATATGTAGTCAAGGGCGACCTTGAACTTCTGATCCTCCTGCTTACACCTCCTAAGTGATGGTGGTATAGGTGTGCATCATAATACCTGGTGTATGAATTCTGGGGATCAAACCGCACCCAGGGCCTTATGCATGCTAGGTAAGTACTCTACCAAGAAAACTACACCCCACCCCCTTCCTTAATCTTGTCCTTATGCCTGTCACCTCAGCACTCCTTAGGCTGGCACAGGAGGGCTAGAATTTGAAGCCAGCTTGAGCTTCATGCAATAAAACAGACGCAGACACAGACACACAGACACACAGACACCCACCCCCCCAAAGATACAGCACAATATGATTGTGCTCGAGGAATGCCTACTGCTTACTTAGGGAACCGGCCTACTCATTACACGAACATCTCTGTTCAGTGACAAGTCTTGCTCTCCCAGCTATTCAGTTAATGTACTAGGATTACAAACTGTCCCCCATATATTGGAACTTGTTTATAATTCTGCGCAGTTTCAGATTTGAAGAGGACATTGGTAGCCATGCAACAGCCTTACCTTACATCCTTTTCGTGTCTTTTATTTTCGCGAATGATATCATACATGGGATCTTCATGTGCCTTAAGGGTAAGAGAGAGTTAAATTTTTGGTTAGTTATCATGGACTGCTTTATTATGTAAAAATTAATCTCTATTAATTGAAACTGGTATTTGATGTAGATTTTTTTTTCCTCTTTATTTAGCCTCGAGTGCCTTCAAATTTGCTGTGGAGCTCATACTGGCCTTGAATTTTTAATCTTACCTCCTTGGTCTCCTGAGTGCTGGGGTCAGTTAGCTTCCTGTAGCTTGATGACATGTATTCAGATCTGAGTTTCTTCTCAGGCCAGCTTTGAACCTTCTATGATGCTGAGGACAACCTTGACCTTAAACTCCTGACCCTCCTGCTTCCACCTCCTAAAGTGCTAGATTACAGCCTTTTGTTAATAGCTTATTCTGAGAGAAGGTCTCACTTTGTCATCCAAGGTCACCTCATATTATGTCAGTCTTGTGTCAATCAACAAAGTGCTGGGACCCCAAACAATAAGCACCACAGCCACCTCACAATAAATTTTAACCCCCCGAAAGGACTATAATTATTGTTTGCGACAGTTCTTTACTGACCTGGAACTCACTGGGCAGACCAGGCTGACCCTAACTCATGGTGGTCCCCCTGCTGCAGCTATCTGAATGCTGGATTACAGCTGTGTGCCCATGCCTGGCTTACACTGTAAACACTGTAAGGCTATAAAATGCCTCTCCAATTAGAATATACAGGAAATAACTAACTATTCCATATAAAGAGATACAGGAGGGGCTGGAAAGATGAACACGCGCTGCTCCTCCAGAGGACATGGTTTCCATTCCCAGCATCTACATGACAGATAGCTCACAAGCCTCTGCAACTCCAGTTCCATGGGATCTGAAGCCCTCTTCTGGGCTCTCCGGGCATTGCATGCATGAGGTGTCCAAATATGCAGGCAAAACATTTATCCACACAATAAAAACAAATCTTTAAAAACTTTAAATAATGATCTCTAACAAGGCAGTTCTGCTTCTCCTGGGTGCTGGGATTACAGGCATGAGGTAGCACCTTTGAGACAGGCAAGCACAGAAGCCTGGAACTCCTCTTTGGTTTTGGTTATGTACTTGCTAGCCTATGCACACACTCTAAACAATGGAGGAAGTTCCTCTTCCCAGTGGTCTCCAAACACATACAAATTCTGTCTAATGTGAAGATACAAATGTAGAGAGCAAGCTGTGCTGGACAGGTTTTAGGGTCATGAGTGATAAGAAAAAACTTTGTGTGTGTGAGAGAGAGAGAGAAGACAGGGTTTCTCTGCCCTGGTTGTCCTGGAACTCGCAGAGATCCGCCTGCCTCTGCCTTTAAGTGCTAACATTAAAGGTGTGCACCACTCCGCCCAGCCACTAAGTGAACTTTTAGGGAGAATGCCTATGTATAATGTTATCATCTTATGCCTATGTATAACGTGCGTGCATATCATTATGTAAGGTATGCATTATGGTAAGAGACAGTTCAGAAAAAAAAGTGGTTCTATAACTCAATCTATTAATCAAAATAGAGACCTACTCTATGCCTAGTGACCAAAACCCTCTCTTCTTTAGACCCCATAAAAAGAAGCTGAAGGCCGGAAGCAGGCCCTCCATCCCTTGACTCAGGGGGGCTTGTGTCAATCTTTTTGTTGTTTCTTTTTTAGAGGCAGGACCTCACTACGTATCCCTGGCTGGCACAGAATTCACTATGTAGACCAGGCTGGCCCAGAACTTAAGAGATCCAACTGCCTCTGCCTCTTGAGTGCTGGGATTAAAGGTGTGTGCCATGCCCAGCTCTCCTGTGTCAATCTTGATAGTAGATTCATTCCTAACATGTTCTGTTGCTTTGATTTGAATGACATACTCTTGCTCTTTGCAAATCTGTGTGTGCTTTTAGTCATTATCTTTTGAACAGCATTTTAGTTTTTATTTAAGTGCATGTGTGAATGTATGCCATGTATGTGGGGGTGCCCGTGGAGGCCAGAAAAGGGTGTCATATACCCTAGAACTGGAGTTACAGTAGATTTAAGCTACCTAATGTGGGTGCTGGAAACTAATGTGGGTCCTCTGGAAAAGGGGCCAAGTGCCTTTAACCATTGAGCAATCTCTCCAGTCCCATCATTATTATTTTAACATTTAGAGTGTGTGTGTGTGTGTGTGTTGTGTGTATGTGTATGTGTGTATGTGTGTGTGTGTGTACAGCAATGTGCACATGCTTGTGCGCCACTGTGGCTTATGGAGGTCAGAGGACGACTTTCAGAAGTCTCCTTTTCCTTTCACCATGTGGGTTCTGGGGATCAAACTCAGGCCAGCTGGCTTGGCATTGGTGCCTCTCTACCCCCAGAGCTAAGAATACAGAAATAGGGGTCAACAAGATTGGCCAACTGAGTTTGATCCCTAAGACCCATGTGGCAGGAGAGAACTGACTCTCAGGCTGTCCCACATCCACGAGTGCCATGGCAAACACAAACTCACACACACACTAAATATTAGGAAAAATTGGGAAAAAAAGGAAGAGCCCAAGAAACACCCAGCCCGGAACTGAGCATTGCTAGAACCACTACTGAAAGATCTAAACACTAGAAACACAGGCTGGGTGTGGCTCAGCTGGGAGAGAGCAAGACATACGTAAAAATAAACTTAAAAATCTATCCTCTCACCAACCAGGTGTAATTGGTGTTAATTTTGGTATACCTTATAACAATAATTATTTTAAAATTTTTCAAGAGAGGATTTCTCTGTGTAATAGTCCTGGCTGTCCTGGAACTCACTTTGTAGGCCAGGCTGGCCTCAAACTCACAGAGATCGGCCTGCCTCTGCCTCCCAAGTGCGGGTATAAAAGGTGTGTGTCATCACCACCTGTCTTTTTTTTTTTTTGGTATATTTTATAAAGAATTTGAGCCATAAGATATATACAACTTTTGTTTCTTTGTTTTATTAAAGAGAGAGTCTCACTGTGCAGCCCCATGGGCCTGAAACTTGCTGTGGAGACTAGGCTGGCCTCAAGTTTGGAGACAGAAGTGGCTTGCCTCTGAGTGATGAGGCTACAGATATGAACTCCCAGGCACAACCACGGGTTGTTTCTCACTTGGGTTTTCATGAGCCCCTTCCCCTAACAGTTTGCAGTCTTCAACATCATAGTGCTATGGCTGGGACTGTACGGCGTGCACAATGCTCCCCTAGAATGCAGGAGGCCCTGGGCTCAAGCTCTAACATCACAGAGTCTAGACACTGCTTTCCCTTTTTCATTTTCATTTTGGAGAATTGTCTTTGTTCGTGTTTTTGCATGTGTAAACAGCTGCACCTGTTAGTGCATGTCTGTGTATGTGTATGGTTATGTGTGCATGTGTGTATGTGCAAATGTCAAAGCCCACGGTTGACTTCAGGAGTTCATCTTATTCACTGAGGCAGGGTATCTCAATTAAGTCAGAGTCCCCAAGAAAGCTAGTTTTGTCAGTGATCCCCTTTCTACCCTCTGTGCACTGACCAATGTCTACCTAGCATTTGCACAGATGATGGAGAGTCATACTCCTGTCCTTGTGCTTGCTTGGCAAGAGCTATTATCCACTAAGTCAACCCCTGAGTCCCTGGAGAAGGTGTTTTGATGTTTTATTTTTGTGAGACAGGCTGTTGCTACAAGACCCAAGCTAGCCCCATGCAGGGTCTTTCTGAGGTTTTTGAGCGCTGGACTGCAGACATGGCTCACCTCCCCTGGTCCTGCTGACCTCAGTCTGCATACACTGACAACCTTACTGCACCGATGGAGCCTTCCTTGGCAGAATTAGTTCCTGATGTGAATGCACACCTCCAAGAGGTGATTCGTGAAAGTACCATGAGGAGGTGGGAGCGCTCGCTTGTCTGTCTGTTTAGCAAATACACACTTGCAGCTCCAAAGACACATCTAAGTTTACATGGGAACAAAAACCCCTCACCTGAGTAATAAATGTGCATTTATATAGTAAACTACTAAGAAGGGTTGAACACACAGTGTTGCCTTTGAGAAAATAAATCACCATTCCTCAGGCTAAGTAAAGAGTATCTGTCTGTCTGTGTTTGTTTGTTTGTCTTTTCCTGCAGTGCTGTGGGCTGACCTCAGGCTCTGCACACGCTGGGCAAGCACTCTACCACTGAGCTGGACAAGCACCCTACCAATGATCTTAGTGAAACAAGATCTCACTAAATAGCTCAGGTTATTCTTGAACGTTCAGTTCTCCATGTCAAACTGTTGACCTGTTAAATAGTGAGCATTTTAACAGGAGTCTTTCCCTCCCTTTTCTTTTCCCTTCTGAGCTGCCTCTGAAGGGCTTTATATAGAGCAGGTTGGCCTCAGATTCACTCAGTAGCCAAGGCTGACTTTGAACTCATGATCCTTCTGCCCCTACCTCCCAAAGGATGGCATTACAGGCTTGCACCATCATGCTTGCTCTATGTGGTGCTGGGGCTGGAAACAAGCAAGTGCTCTGAGCGTGCTACACCAGCACTCTACCACAGGAGCGACACCCCCAGCCCCAGTTCTTGTTACAGAGGTTATCTGTTACAAAGGTATGACGGGGTGTGTGTGTTTCCAGAGCACCAGTTCAGCAGTGATGATCTGTCTCCTAACGTTCACCATCTCTGATGACTGTGCAAGGTTTACTTACAACTCGGAACTGTTCTAACTTCTGGTTGCCTTTGATAAAGAAAGGGCATTCTTTGTCGCCTGTTCGATGGCCATACCGTTTGCAACGCCAACCTAAAGCCAAAGAAAAACATTTCTGTAAAATATGGTCTCACTTCACTGAGATAACGGTTTAGTAGATCAAGTTTTTCATTAGACTCCAATTCTAAAACACAAAGAATTAACGGATGAAAACACTAAGATCCCAGAAAATAATGAAGGGTAACTAATTGCTTCCTTGAATCTTGTTAGGAGTGAATGTCCATCATCAAATATTTGTGAGCAACACAATGAATGTTCTTAGCAGGTTTAACTCCATTTCTCAGAGTACAGCAGGGGCTTGCAAGAGGGTCAGCCATGATTCCAGCACCCACACAGTGGCTCATGACCACCTGCAATTCCAGTTCCAAGAGACCCAATGCTGTCTTTTGGCCTCTAAGGGCTGCCATATGCAGTGGTGCAGATGAGCTCATGTGAAGGCGTGGGACCTTCTCACAGGTAATTGTGAGACACTTCCATGGGTGCTGGGAGCCGAGCTGTGGTCCTCTAAAGAGCCCTGTGCACTCTTCACTGCCGAGCTGCTTCTCCAGCTCGGGCCTCGTTTTTAGGCAAAACAACAATTTCTCGTAAAATGTAGTGTCACTAGAACTACCAGGTTAGCCTGGAAAACAGAGAAACTGTCGGTGTTTAGAGAGGTTTTGGCCCCGAGGAATCAATGTAACACATGAAGACACACTCTCCAAGTCGGTGAAGGCAAGTGTACAACTGAAGGGGTTCACTGGACGCTCCTCGGCGATGGCGCGGCGACCTGAGGGGTGTGAAGCAGTGACGAGGTCCCAGCATTGCCCTCACATCTTTTCATCCCGTCAGGCAGCTGCTTGGGGATGGTGAGCAAGTGACACTTAGGTGCTGACCAAGGAGGTCAGGAAGCAGGAGCGCTGTGAAGATGGGCTGCTTTGGCCCGTGCTAAGCAACCACAGAAAGCTGTTGAAGGGAGCAATTGTCCTCTGTGGTATGTGCATGTGCTTAGGAGAGTGTAGGACTCTTGTCTAGGTCAGACAGGAAGTCACGTGTCCTCCTTTACCAGTTCTCTGCCTTATTCCCTTCAGACGGGTTTACCACAAATGGCTGGCCAACAAGCTCTCAGGATCCGTCTCTACCGTCTAATGGGTTTCCCGGCATGCTGGAGCTACAGACGTGAACAGCCACTTCCGTCATCTTATGTGGGTGCTGGGGAGTCTAGTCCTCATGTGCACCCACCACTTTAGCTTACAGAATGAGACAGACCTAGAACCCTAGTACTAGGGAGGATGTGGCAGGCCTACCCCGAGTTCCAGGCTAACAAGTGCCATGGTAAAGAATTCTGGCTCAGCCTCCCCTTCACTCATCCAAAACAGCGTCAGGAAGAAAGACCACATTCTAAACTAATGTTGTATGTCATCAAGACTTGGGATGTAAGATGCCAGGGGGCACAGCTGGATATGCACACATCCCAACACATATGAGCTTTGCTCAGGATTATCTTAAATGAAGGGGATGTGCTGGTATAGCCCTGGTGCAGACCCATAATCCCAGCACTCAGGAAGCTGAGGCAGCAGGATTTCTAATTCAGGACCACGCTGGGCTATATAAGGAGATGGTATCTCAAAACAGCAACAAAAAACAAAATGATGATCCTTGTAACACTAAGTGTGGCCCACAGTAAAAGTGACAATGTGAAAGATTCTATCAGTAGTGCACTCTCAGGAGCCCTCAGCAGTGTGAATGAATAGCCTGAATGCAGAGCTGTATTTGCAGCCATAAGGGGGGTGGCAGCTCAGTGGTAGAGGGTCTACTTTGCACAAGGGAGATACTGTAGCACAGAGAACACAGGCAGGCAGACAGATGGGATGGGGTGGGGATTGTGATATGTAGACTTAGCGGTTACAGAAACATTTTTCTTTTATATATTTTTCAATATTTTGTTGTTATTTTAATTATTTTAATGTGTGCAAGGTTTTTTTTTGCCTACATGTCTGTCTGTCTATACACCACATTCATGCCTGGTGCCTAGGGAGGCCAGGTCAATGGATCCCCTGGAACTGGAGTCACCATATAGGTGCTGAGAATGGAATCCCAGTCTTCTGGAAGACTAATGTATTGGTTTGAATGAGAATGGCCCCCTAAGATGTTTGAATACTTTGCTCCCAGTTGGTGAAACCGTTTGGGGAAGGATTAGGTAAGGCCTTGTCTTTGGGGTTGGGTTCTGAAGTTTCAAAAGCCCATGCCATTCCCAATTAGTTCCCCGCTTCATGCATGTGGATGAGACATGAACTCTCAGCGACTGCCCCAGCACCACACCTGCCTGCAGCCTGATGCTCACAGCCTCACTCTCTGAAGTAAGCCCAAATTAATCGCTTCTTTTTAAGTTGCCCTGTACATGGTGTTTCATCATGGCAACACGAAAGTAAGCAGGACAAACAGCCAGTGTTCTTAACTACCAAGCCATCTCAGGCCCAGAATTACTTTTCTTAATACCAGAGTCAAGGAACATATGCAGGTTCCTGTACATGTGTGGTCTGCTTGGTAGGACCTGAAGCTTCTATCATTTGGTGAAGAAGAGGGTTGTGAGAAAACAAACACAAAAACATCTTGCCTTCAGAAACTAAACACCATCATATGCAAATATGAACAAGAACACACTGAACATTGCTAGGAACACAAGACTTGACAATCTATAAATATGGATTCATTGAGAATCCATTTAATGAAGAATATACACAGACGTCCCTCAACATGGGCCTATAGTGGCATTTCAGTTGTATTTTAATAAATAAAGCTTGCCTGAGGATCAGAGAGCAAAACAGCCTCATGTTGGGTGTCATTTGTAGCATGATTTAATAAAAACCAAGAGACAGAAATTAGGGTTCAACCTGAAGGTCAGAAAAGCAAAACAGCCAACCACTGGGTTTTACCTCTACCTCAGTTCGAAATGTCAATTCTGTAGGGTAAAAGGATAACTGGAGCAGGAAACCAACCAATCACTGCCACCAGCACCCTGGCTCTGAACCCAGAGTAGAGAAAGAAACATGCCCTGTATTTGAGACCTGGGCCAGGGAGAAAAACATCTTTATCCCTGAACCCCAGACTAAAGACATGTGCCCTGGCTCTGAAACTAGTGTCAAAGAAACACTTTGTCACTAAAATCAGAGCCAGTGAAAGAAGTATGCCCTGGTCCTAAGATTAGTGTCAAAAAGCTAAAAAGTACCAGTGAAAGAAACACAGTTTAGCCATGAAGGCAGAGCCATCTCTGTCCCTGATCCCCTAAACTGACCAATCCCTGAGCAGGGAAAAACTAGCCAATCCCCCTTCTCCCTAGAAAAACCCTGCCCCTAAGAAGCCCTATATAAGCCTCTCCACTGCTTCAGTTAAAGGCTGCCCCTAAGGCTGCAGGTAATCCTTCCCTGGCAGAGGCAGGGACTCCTCATTCCCAAATAAATCTCTTTCTCAAAAGAGTCTTGGGTGACGACCTTCTTTAACTGGAGCAGAGAAGAACCTGACTGGGACTTCCCTTAGGGGACCGAGCTGAAAAACCTTGCTGAGATGCTCCCTAGGGGGCCTCAGCAATGTGGATCAGAACAGAAGAACCTTGCTAGGAAAACTTTTCCTATGTAGTAACAACTTTTCGCCAGAGCCGAGGAAATTGTTACATTTCTGCAGGGGCTTCCCCTTAGCAGAGTGTTAGCAGAAGCTGGAGAAGGAGGAGAAGAAGCAGATAGCTCTGCTAGCATCCATTAAGGATGCTCCCTTAATGGAACAGAGCAGAACTCAGCTGTGCTGCTCTCCAGAAGAGCAGGATCACTATATCCTTCAGGGAGACCGTCCCCCACAGCACCCAGCTTCAGGTAGCCTGGCTTCCCAATAGTCAGGACACCTTTCTTCCAGGGCTCCAGCCTCCAGAGCGGTCCGAGTGCGGCTCTACCCCTCCAGAGCTGTCCTAGAGCATCTCTAAGTATATCCTCGCTTCCCTGTAAGTCAGATATCCCAATACCACTACTGTACCACATTCCCCTACAAATTCTGCCTCTAGGAGTCTCAGAATGAGACTGTGTGTGAGAGCTGTCTCCTCCCTTATTATAATCCTCTCTAGTGCTCGGATTAAAGGCGTGCACCACTACTGCCCCATTTTTATGGCAAACTAGTGTGGCTGCAGGGATTAAAGGTGTGTGTCACCACTGCCTGGTCTGTAAGGCTGATCAGGGCAGCTGTTTTACTCTCTGAACTTCAAGCAAGCTTTATTTATTAAAATACAAATGAAATATCACTACATGGGCCAGGAGATAACCTTCATAAATCTATTCTTTCTTTGCTTACTTATTTTATTTCTGAGTGTTTTACCTGCATGTATAATGCATATGTGCTTGGTGTCCTCAGAGGTCAGAAGAAAGTACCCTAGCCTCTGAACTAGAATTATAGACAGCTGTGAGCGATCATGTGGGTGCTGGGAACCAAACCCAGGTCGTCTGCAAGGGCAACAAGGTGCTTTTAATTGTTGAGTCTTCTCCAAAGTAATGAGAAGTTCTAGGTCAGTCTCAAACTATAGAATGGGAGTCTGTCTGAAAACAAACAAACACACACAGGGCTCAGTAACTAAGAGCTCTTATAGCTCTTAGGTCCTTGCAGAGGACCTCAGTTCAAGTCCCACATGTTGGGCAGCTCATAACTCTAGTTTAAGGGGATATATGCACATAATTAAAAATAACAAAAAATAAATTTGGGGGTCCTGGACAGCTGAGTCAGCAGTTAGGATCAGATATTACTCTTATAAAGGACCTAAGTTTTGGTTCTGAGCGCCCATGTCAAGTGGCTCAACCACTCTGGCATCTGTAATCATATGTATGTCTCCTTACCACCACAATATACACATAATAAAAATATATCTTAAAAAAAATTTCTAAATAAGTAATAAAAATAGTAACAAATTTGTCCAAAACAGTCTTTAGCTTTTTACAAATTAGTCACAGGCTTTTTTCACTGTGAGAAAAAAAATTCTAATCAAAGGTTGCTGGTCCATCAAGGACTAATACTCCATAAAACAATCCCATCTTGAACCTCTGTAAAACGTCTATTTTGTTGTTATGCTATGGTTGCACTGCCTGCATATGTCTGTGGGCCATGTACACGCACACAGTGCGGCCAGAAGAGCGCATTGGGTCTTCTGGAACTGGAGTTACAAACCTCTGAGCCTCCATGTGGGTGCTGGGGCCCCAACTCTGGGTCCTCTCCAAGAGCACCTAGTGCTCTTACTGCTGACCGTGTCTCCAGTGCGCACCCGGCCTGAGGCATTTAAGCCCGTTTAGTCTCTCCCACCAGGTAGAACTTGTTTACCCAAAGGCGCTGCAAGCACCCCAGGAACTTGGAGAGCCTCAGCTACTGCTCCCTCCCAGATCCCTTCATTCCCTTTGCTGTCAGTCAGTCATGAAAGCCTGTGATGCTGGACCCCGTCCTGGCGGAAAGGCACAGACATGGCTGCATCAGAGCAGAAATCAAGTGCACTCACGGCCAGGGGTCTGGGAGCCCGGCTTAGGTCAGGGGACACCCTTTTCACCACCAGCAACAGCCTTACTATTTTTTTTCCCTTTGTTCTTGTTTCTTTGGGTAACACTGAATATCTGCTCCCAATACAACAATCTAAGGAACAGTATTTCCAGAAAATCCACCCAACCCTGGTGAGAAGTGCCACTTCTGGTCTCTGAACTGGGCCACTCCCAGTGTTCTTGTCCTAGGTCAGTAAGAGTCTGACCAAAGTCAGAATGAGGCTGAAGCTCCCTAAAAGGACACAGCCACATGGCACTGCCACTATCTGATTGTCTCAAAGATCCCTGGAAAAGCCACACCTATAAGTCACTTGCCTAAGCATATCATTCATTCTATAGGAAAGACAACCTTTCAAAATACTGGCTGAAAATGATGGCTTGTTTAACATCCAGCCCATGCTGGCTAGTCATTTTGAATAAGGGAACCTCGTTTGAGAAAATGCTTCCATCAGATTGCCTGTAAGCAAGTCTACAGAGCATTTTCTTGATTAATAATTACTATAGGAGGGCCCAGGTGTAGGTGGTGCCCTCCTCTGGGCTGGGCACTACCAGTCCTGGGTGTGGAAAGAAAGCACGCTAAGTAAGCTAAGGAGAGCAAGCCAGTAAGCAGCATTTCTCCACTGCTCCTGCATCAGCTCCAGACCCCAGGTTCCTGCCCTGTTTGAGCTCCTGCCTTGACGTCCCTCACAGCCCTTCCTGACTGTGATTTAGGATATCTAAGTCAAATAAACTCTTTCCCCCCTGAAGCAAACTAAGACACATTGTCAGGCTGGTTATCAACACTTACAGGAACCACTGGGGACTGGCACACTCACCAGAGCCTCTCTCTACAGGTCCTCACCATGACCTTGGTCATCTAGAGCTGACACACGCGCTGTCCACAGAAACCCAACACTCTCTCTTCTGTGTGACCTGGGACCTGGGAAGACAGGCTCTTAAAGCCTGATGAGAGCCAAGCATAGTGACGAACATCTGTAGCTCTAGATTCAGGAGGCTATAGCAGAAGATTAGACAGCATAGCAAGACCTGACCAGAAGAGCAGAGCAAGTTAAAGCAGGGATCTAACCTGTGCCAGCTCTGAGGAGGCATGATATCAAGGTCCACACACACATGCATGCACACACACAGACATACAGACACATACACACACACACACACCCTCTTGAAAAAAGGTAGGTTTCTTGGATTAATGCAGTTGAAGAATACCAGACAAATTCTTAGCCGAGTGCTAGCTACTGAGACACATACTACAGAGGATACAAACTTTCAGAGTCACTTCATGAAGTTACTAAAGCTATGAGAAGTTTCCAAGAAAAAAGTATAACAAACAATAATATAGGTAATAAACATGTTAAACCTTGAAACATTTTTTTGTCTAAAGCATAAGAGCGAAGTTCAAAGAAATGGCTGAAGTGGGCTAGGTATGGTGGTACACACCTTTAATACCAGCACTTAATACCAGGAGGCAAAGGCAGGAGGATCTCCATGAGTTCCCAGACAGCTTGGTCTGCACCCTGTGTTCAGAAACCCTGTCTCAGAAAAGAACAACTACAAATGAAAGCTGAAGCAGGAAGACGGAAATCCAAGGCTTCCTTGGGTGCAGAGGAAGTTCCAAGGTGGCCCGGACCACTTAGTGAGGCTGCATCTCACAATAAAACATACAAAGAGAATAGGATGCAGTTCAGGGTACAGAGCTTGCCTTGCATGTGTGAAACCCTGTGCTCAGTGGATAATACAAAACAAACACAAAAAAAAAAACAGAAAAAAAAGAGTGAGAGAAAAGATAGAAGAATGTTTGATAAAATGTCAAACCCCAAATTAGGTAAAACAATAATAAGAATGCCCAGAACTAGGCAGGCATGGTGGCACATGCCTGTGTTTACACCTGTATCTTAGCTCTATGGAGACCCTGGCTAGTCTGAGCTAGAGAATAACCTGCCTTTAAAAAACTCAAACTAAAGCAAAGTAGAACAATGCCAGGAAGCTAAAAAGACTTAACCAAGTAGTCTAAGTTCAGAGAGATCCAATTGTAATGGTGTCAAGAAAAAGCTGTACATTACTGTAAGCCCACAAGAACTTTTCATTAGGAATTAGCAGACCAGAGGCCGGAGTACTCATCAGTGCAAACATGCTTGTTTAGCATGTATGAGGCCTGGGTTCACTCTCCATCCATCTGTGGAAGGGACGTCGAGAGGCAGTAAAAGTGTTAAAAGAGTCGGAATTCTCTGCCGTGAACTCATCAGTAGAGAAGAAGAGGAAAATGAGGAAGCTCACCTAATAAAGTGGGCAGGACTTTACGGGGTGTAGATAAGGATTAGGGCATTTGCACCATGTGCCGGCTCTGTTCGTGATCACCAGCACCACAAAACAAACCGACTTGAGGGCATCTGTTGTGAGTAGGCTTGCCTTGAAAGAACAGGTGACGCTGAAGCTATGAAAGGGCATGAGGTGGTTCCTCAAACACTAAGAAGAAATACTGACAGCCCACAGGAAAGGCAAACAGGAAAAGAAAGCTCCAATGGACTTCTCGGAATCTTCTCATAAATCTGGGAGGCTACAGATGCTCAGCTGTTAAGAGCACACGTTGCTCTTACAGAGGACCTGGCTTCAACTTCCAGGACTACATGGTGGCTCACAACTATCTGTAACACCAGGTTCTAGGGGTCTTCTGACTTTTGAGGGCACCAAGCATGCACATGGTGTACACACAAATATACGGGCAAAACCACTCACATATTAAATAAAATGAACAAATCTTTTAAATACTCCATAGTGGCACAGGTCTAACATACCAACAGTCTACGGGGAGGCCAAGGCAGAGGACTGGGAGTTTGAAGTCGGTCTGGGACCAAGTACAGAGGCACACACCTTTGATCGCAGCAACAAGAGGCAGGTTTCTCAGCATGAGTTCAAGGTCAGTCATGGCTACATAGTAAGAACCTGTCTTAAAAACCAAGAAGGCCAGTCTGGACTATATGGAGATGTCTGGTCACAAAACAAAACAAAAATGCAACAGAAATCTGTGACAGACTTATGTAAACTACTGAAATGTATATGTATGATAACAGGACAGGAAGCAGGCGGGACACAGAAGATACATCCAGCGCCACCTCCTGTGGCCTGTGGTCGCTCTTGGTAGTCACTTTAACAGACAAACATATTCAACAACACTCTGCCGCATCTCTTCCTCCTATGGCATCTCTCTCCCGGGATGTTATTTTTATCACGGTAGTACTGCTCACATACCCAAAACAGCTATGGCCATGGAAAGATCACTGGACACAAACTCAAAAGTCCTGGAGTCAGGTCAGCCATAGGCTCAGCCTATAACAGCACTTGACCTGGAACTCACATGGGTGGGGAGAGAACCAACTCCCATAGCTTCTCCTCTGACCTCCACGTGTATACCATGAAACCCACACTGACACATACACAATAATACATAAATAGCAATAATAAATAACATAAAAAACCAGGGGCTAGTAAAGCACTCATCTGGCATGGGCATGGCCCTTGAGTTGATCTCCATAGCAACACACGTGCACATATACACCCTAAGTCAAAGATAGGACGTAAAGCACTATCAAGTATAGCACATAACCAGTATGAGGAGAGGCATGCTGTGGTTTGGATCTGATTTGTCCCCCAAAAGTTCATGTTGAAAATCTGGCTGGTCTGCAGTGTGGTAGGATAGGGTAGAGGACCTTTTAAGATGTGGAGCTGAGAGGCAGGCTATGGCCAAGGGAACTAAGTCCTCACTAATGGAAATGTGGGCCAGGTCTGGAGTGACTGTACCCCCTTTTCATCACTAATGGAAATATGGGCCAGGTCTGGAGTGACTGTACCCCCATCTCATCACTAACGGAAATGTGGGCCAGGTCTGGAGTGACTGTACCCCCTTTTCATCACTAATGGAAATGTGGGCCAGGTATGGAGTGACTGTACCCCCATCTCATCACTAATGGAAATGTGGGCCAGGTCTGGGGTAACTGTACCCCCTTCTCATCACTAACGGAAATGTGGCCAGGTCTGGGGTAACTGTACCCCCATCTCATCACTAACGGAAATGTGGGCCAGGTCTGGAGTGACTGTACCCCCTTCTCATCACTAACGGAAATGTGGCCAGGTCTGGGGTAACTGTACCCCCATCTCACCACTCCCTGCATGTGTTTCCCTTCAGAACACTCTCCTTCGGCTTCTCCATCATGTATGATGCAAGCAGGGCACACGGGCCAGGATGCTGATACTGCACCGTGTAGACCCTGCAGCCTTCAGAACTGTGGGCCAAAGAGATCCCTTCATGACTTACCCACCCTCATGCACCTTGATTAGTGACAGAAGACAGACTGCCACAGAGACATCACTCAAACCCTTGCACACTCACATTGCATAACTTTGACCTCTCTCCCAAGAGGCATCCAAAGTCCTTTAGTTGGTGCATGAGCCAGAAACTCCCTGGCATGTTCATTGCCTGGCACATCCGGTATACAGTCTTCTGGCTTTGTCTCATCCTCCTACAGGAAGATAACAGTCTGTAAACAACAGAACAAAACCAGAACCAAAAACCAAAACTGAAACCAAAAAAATCCAACAAACTAAAACCAAAACCAAAACAGGACTCCATCCTTGCTTCCTGCCTGGGAAGCTATCATCTGGCTTCCTGTTAACTGTGTGACAATGTCGTCCCCCAGGAACTGGAGAGACAAGCTGTCAGGGACAGAACTGCACAGAAGAAACAGCTCAGCCTCGCTGTGAAGCACAGGCTTCGTGCAGGAATGACTTATGGCCTCCACACTCTGACAGAAGATAGGCCAAACAGCTTTCATCCTCTCAGTCTGGGAGGAGAAGGCATTCTAGAACACTACAGACAGACGGTTACATTAAAATGGCTCTTAAAAAATTACACTTTTGTGGGGAGAGCAAGCTCTTCTCACGAGGCAAGTGGAGGGAGAAGATGAACCTGGAGGAGTTCGCCCTCACCTTTCTCTTAAAGGTCACTGAGTCTCTGACAGGGATTTCCACCAACAAATAACTGTATTTAGAACCAGAGTATTCCTTTACTTTCTGCTTTTTTCAAACATTTCTTTTACTGAAAGTCTTTGGTCCTCTGGCTGCTTTCCTGTGTCTCATGCCATTGAAACAGCCTGGCCCTGCCACTAGGTTGCAGGGGTTCTGCCCTGGAGGCTGCAGTGTTTGTCCTTTCACAGGCTGAGCTGAGGGCTCCAAGACTCCACCCTAAATGTACTGAGGAGCAGGCTGAGTGAGGCAGATAAGTTAATTGGACAGCAGACACTTCTAGAAGATACTGCCACAGAGAGAGAAAGAAAGCTGTGGTCCCGGGACTCCTATGTGTTTGCACTGGTTCCTTGGGATGGTGTGACAGCTGAATATAAGCTGAATAAGAAACAGCATGTTCATATAAGGAGATTAAAAATACCACCATTTTTTAAAACAGTAAACCACTAAGTCCCCAAGTATATTAAATAGAGCAACCATTGCTTACCTTTATAAACCCAGGAGGAGGCTTCTCGTAACTAGAAAATGAAACACAAAAAGCAATCTTCATCAAACATGTCAACAGAAGACATAGCACACACGCATACACACACACACGGAACATACACACACACACACAACAGCAGGAGCCAGCCCCCTCGGAGGTTTCCCCTCCATGCCCAGCTGTGCCAGATGCTCACAGCCCTCAGAATGTTTGTAGCTGGAACAGGTGGCTGCACACGAAGGGCAGTGACACCCCAGACAGCACTCTGCAGTGACACAGGACCCTTCACTCTGCCTCACCTCTCTAACCCCCCCGGGAAAGCACTCCTCATCACCAGAAGGCCAGAAGGGACAAAAAAGCACAAGGATGTGTGCTTTCTTTGTTCTGACTCTTTTTTAAAAAAATATTTATTTATTTATTATGTATACAGTATTCTGTCTGCATGTATGCCTGCAGGCCACAAGAGGGCACCAGATCTCATTACAGATGGTTGTGAGCCACCATGTGGTTGCTGGGAATTGAACTCAGGACCTTTGGAAGAGCAGCCAGTGTTCTTAACCTCTGAGCCATCTCTCCAGCCCCCTGTTCTGACTCTTTTATGCAGGGCTGGGGGTCTGCAGGAGAAAAATAAAATTAGGTGTGGGAAACAAGGCGCCAGTCTAAGGGGCAGTGAAATGACCTCCTGTTTTCTGATCTAAGATGCAGGAAAAAAACTTGGTAGGGGATTGGCACAGGTTGCTTTCTGTTGCTGTCACCAACGCCATAATCAAATGCAACTTGGGGAGGAAAGGCTGTATGTAAGCTTACAGTTAGGTTAGGCTGTCACTGAGTGAAGCCAGGGCAGGAACTGAAGCAGAGACCATGGCTTGTCCTCTGTGGTTTGCTCTGACTGCTTTCTTATATAACCAGTGCCCACGGTGACACCACCTGTGGTGGACCGGCCCCTCCCATGGTCAGCATTAATCAGGAAAATGTTTCCAGACTTTCCCACAGGCCAGTCTGATGGAGGCACTTTCTCCGCTGAGGTTCTGTTTTCCCAGGTGACTCTAGTTTGTGTCAAGTTGACAAAAACTAAGATGCACAAGAATGGCTTAGAAATGTCATGAATCCAGAGCCTTAAAGGTTCCGAAGAGAATGGCTGGGTGGGACCAAAATTAGCTTCTTAGATCTAGCACGGTGCTTTTTCCAAAGCAGATATTAAAAAAGATTTCAAAAGGAAAACTACAGTGTAACATGAGACTAACTCAGTAAAGCCAACAGAATCCTGGCCATGTGGTCAGGTGACAAAGTGCTTCGGGAGCCCTTCATTCCCAACACTGCAAAGTCTCATGCGTCAGACCCAAAGGAGCTTGGTATAAAGTCCATGGATCTCCAGATCCATCCCTGAACTACAAGTGCTGAACAAACAACATATGGCCAATTATAATGAGGTCCAAATGTGTGAATAAAATGCAACTTATCACTATAAAAGGAATGTAACACAATTATAGATTTTGAAATGTGTTATTATTAGTAAAAGTGTTCCATAAAAGTGTGTTGCACAGATGTTTTCATAAGTTTAAAGTAAAGTGGCTAGTGTTTATTACTAGGACAAATAAATTCATTAATTGTTGTTGGAGACCGCTTGTTCGTTCCCGGCTGCCCAGACCTGAAATAATTACTCAGAAACTATATCATTTAAACCTCTGCTTGGCCTATTAGCGTTAGCTTATTGGCTAACTCTTACATCTTAATTTAGCCCATTTCTATTAATCTGTGTATTGCCACATGGCTGTGGCTTACCAGTTCCGTTCGGTGTCTGTCTCTGGCGGGGCTACATGGCTCCCCACTGACTCTGCCCTTCTTTCTCCCAGCATTCAGTTTAGTGCCCCCCACTAAACTCTGCCCTATCACCGGCTCTACTCTGCCCTATCACCGGCCAAGGCAGATTCTTTATTCATTAACCAATAAAAGCAACACATATAAGAAGGAACTCCCACACCAATTAATGTAACACATTCAAAAAGATACTATAGCTTAAAATACTATTTCAGTAGTAAATAAAAGAGATTAAGAAATTAGAATGAATTTGTTTGCACTGTGACAGTTAAGAAATCTAGGGCTGGCTAAGAGTGGTGGTGCACATGTTTAATCTCAGCACTCAGGAGGAAGAGGCAGATAGACTTCTAAGAGTTTGAGGAGAGCATAGTGAGTTCTAGGTCAACCACAGTTACATGGTGAGGCCCTCTCTGAAAAAAAACCAAAAAGGAAAGAAATACCTAGTTAATTTTGTTATTGCTGTTGTTTGGGACAGGGCCTTACTCTGTGGCCCAGGCTGGGCTTGAGCTCCTGACCATCTTTCTGCCTCAGCCTCCTGAGTGCTGGAACTATATGGGTGAGGCGAACTTGTGAAGTTAGTTCTTAAGATCTACAAATGGGGAAAAACAGAGTTCCATTTTGTTCCGGAGGTCTTGTGTGGCGTCACTGAGAGTGGACTGCGCTGTTCTGAGAAGTGAAAGGTCAAGCCTGGTAGGAAGGAAAAACAGCAAGAGGACATGGACCCAGAACTCACTCATGAATGAATATGGATGACTGTCTTCCGGGACAGAGTGTCTCTTCAGAGTCACCATTGTCCTGTCGTAGTCTTCTGAGTGCTAGGATTAGAACTATGGGTCTTTGGGGACAACTAAATAATACTCACTCTGTGAAGTACTTATAATGACTTTTAAAAAATTAACATGCATAAGTGTTGTGCCTCCCTGTATGTATGTATACTACATGTATGCACGCATACTACATGTATGCCTGATGCCTGTAGAGGTCACAGTGGGGCATCAGATGTCATACTGATGGTTGTGAGCTGCCGTGTGGATGCTGGGAACTGAACCAGGGTCCTCTGCAAGAGCAGCAGTGCTCCTAACTGCCGAGCCAGCTCAGCAGCCTCCTTTAAACTACTTCTGTGTTGAATGCTCAGCAGGATCTATTTGAAGCACTCATTAAATATGTGCCATCCCACAAAACTGGTCTGCAGCTGCATGCAAGGAAGGAACCACAGAGACAAGATGTCTGCTGTGTAGCTCAGCTCTCAGCTAGAACAAGAGACCTGAAGCATGGGCAGCCCGAAGAGAGAGAGGTGCTGTGGCGCTTCCTGTCCAGCATGGCTGACGGGGACATAAGCGGCTGTCATCTTCCCAGCAGTGTTTAAAATAACAGCAAAAAACAGTAAAGCCAAGGTACCCCAAGACCAAACAAGAGTCTTGGTTTCAATGTGGGGAACAAGTTTACAGACTTCTCCAGGTAGAGGAAGCCGAGGCCTTCAGAAGGTCTCCAGAGAGCATGGGTACCAGGGTGCTGAGGCGACCAGCTTCTCTTTCCTTGCAGCGGGAGACTGCCAGCCCTACCCTTGAGCATGACTCATTCTTTTACCCTGGATTCCTAGCAGCCACACACATACCTTAACTTCAGGCCAAGGAAAGAAGATGTTTTACACAGAACCTTAAAACCTAGAAATGGCTCTCCTTGCTGGGAATAAAGAGCACTGAGCAGTCAGACCATCCTATGTGAAGTTATCAGTCATACTAGGCATAGTGGAGCGAATCCCAGCACTCAGGAGGCAGAGGTCAGATGGCTCTGTGAATCTGAGGCCAGCCTGGGCTACATGGAGAGTTCCAGGATAACCAGGGCTACATAGAGCCTCAAAACAAAACAAAAACCCTAAATGGGCATCTTCCCTCCTTCTTTCCCACTTTAAAAGTTCCAAGAGTAGCCTATCGCACACTGTGTATCACAGGTTGGCCTTGAACTCAACACAACCCATTTCAGCCTTCCTAGAGTGGGACACCATGACTGATACGATAGTGTATCACTATCAAGTGATATCGTACCATGGCTGATACGATAGTGTATCACTATCAAGTGTGAGCAGAGATCCAAGAACACTCAGACAACAAAGAGAATGAGAAAACAAAACCACAGGCTGGGGTGTGTGCCTCAGCTGGTAAAGAGCTGTTCTTGTGGGCAAGAGGACCTGAGTTAGATCCCCAACTATATAAAGGCAAAGCTGGGCATGTTGGTACACATTTAAAACCGCAGAACTGGGGAGGCACCGACACGCAAAACCCTTGGGCTTACTGGCCAGTTTGTCTAGTCTACCTGGGGAGTTTCTGGCCAAAGAGAAATCTTGTCACTGGATCACCTCCCAGTTATGATATCACAGGTCTCATCATGCAGACACACACACACACACACACACACACACACACACAAATAATTAAATGTAAGCCAGAAATCAGAACACAAGGCAAGTCTGTAAATATAACTGCAAGGGAGGCTGAGGCAGAAAGATATGGCAAATTCACGGGATGCTTGGGCCACACAGTGGGTAACTTAACAAGACCTTATTTCAAAATAGAAAATAGAAGGAGGGCTAAGGATATAGCTCGAAACACTGACAATAGATGGAACAAAAGAAAACAAAAATTAATGTGTGCACATCACTACTGAAACAAGAACAGGATGTCCTGAAAAACAAAGCTCAGAACAAGTAAATGTTCTCTTTATTTTTAAAATTAGCATATGAAGTGTTAGCTATTGTATTAGGGTTCTCCAGAGGAACAGAACTGATAAAATGAACACACACACATTTATTAGAGAGGCTTAAATGTTGTGTTAAATGGACCACTACAATGGCAGAAAGGTCATCAAGTAGGCCCCCAGGGTGACAGTGAGTGGAACCATTTCTATTTCATCGCCTTGAATCCTGGACCCATGGATTCTGACTATGGGAGAAACTGTACATAGCACATGCTGGACTCTGACTCAAAGCACATACCACTTTCTGGAGGACCCCGCCTCAGCCATCCAGGCTACTGCCACTTAATTGGTGTTTTAGCAGTGTCTTCAAAAGGCCATTTCGTCATTCTATCAGGCTAGCTGCTTCAGAATGGTGGGAACATAGTAAAACGTGGGCCCAAGCTCACACTTCTCTGGCTATGAAATCAGTTCCTTGGTCAGAAGCAATGCCGCGTTGAACACCATGATGGTGGATAAAGCTTTTGGGAAGTCCATAGGTGGGTGGCTTTGGAGAGGCATTATGTGCAAGAATAAATATCTGTTCCAGTAAGGAAAGAT